ACAAAGGAAAGAACAGAAGAAATCTCTAGAAGAGGAACTAAATGAAATAGATCCAAGCAAGCTAACAGATACAGAGTTCAGAATTTTGTTTATAAGGATGTTTAAGCAGACTATTAGGGAAATAACTGAGAAAATCGATAACATAATAAAGTACCAATTTGAAATGAAGGCTACAGGAACTGAAATGAAGAATAATTTACATGGAATCAACAGTAGAGTAGAGGACGCTGAGAATCAAATCAGCAATTTACAACATCAGGAAACAAAAAACACCCAACCAGAAGAGCAAAAAGAAAAAAGAATCCAGAAATATGAAGATAGTATAAGGAGCCTCTGGGACAACTTCAAGAGGCCCAACATTCGTATTATTGGGGTGCCAGAAGGGGAAGAAAGAGACCAAGAAATTGAAAACCTATTTGAAAAAATAATTACAGAAAACTTCCCCTACCTGGGGAAAGAAATAGACTTACAAGTCCAGGAAGCACAGAGGGTCCCAAACAAGAGGAACCCAAAGAGGCCCACAGCAAGACACATCATAATTAAAATGCCAAAGGTTAAAGACAAAGAGAGAATCTTAAAAGCAGCAAGAGAAAAGGAATTAGTTACCTACAAGGGAGCACCCATACGACTGTCAGCTGATTTCTCAACAGAAACTTTGCAGGGCAGAAGTGGCAAGAAATATTCAAAGTGATGAAAAGCAAGAACCAACAACCAAGATTGCTCTACCCAGCAAAGCTATCATTTAGAAGTGAAGGTCAGATAAAGATCTTCACAGATAAGAAAAAGCTAAAGCAGTTCATCACCACTAGACCAGCACTACAGGAAATGTTGAAGGGTCTTCTTTAAGAAGAAGCTAATGAATAGAAGAATCTGATGAACTAAATAGATACAGAGACATTGATGCAGGCAACAGATGATCATATTTCAGAGGAAAGAGGGAAGGTAGGGTAGGAAGAGATTAACCAAAGAAGTTATATGCATATATGCATAACCCGTGGACACAGTCAATAATGGGGTGAAGGCCTGGGGAGGGGGTGGGAGCGAGGTGGAGGGGGTTAATTGGAGGAAAAAAATGAGACACCTATAATACTTTCAACAATAAAGATAAATTTAAAAAAAAAAAAAAAAAAACATGACTCACCAGAGCTAGAAAGGTACCTGAGAACCCAGAAAGGTTTTGGCAGTTTTTGTCATACATTGGTTCATTCACCAAGTAGATTTATTTTGTCTACTATGTACCAAGCACAGTTCTAGCAAGGATTAAGTGATGAGTAAACCCAGAGAGGTTTAGTGACTTGTCCAAGTACATCTAGCTCATAGAGGTAAAGCCAGGACTCCAGGCCAGGTCTCTACAGTCACTTGCTCCTCCCTGAGTTTCAGTTTCCTCATCTCTTAAAAAGACCACAGTGAGAATAATATTGTCGAATAACAACTGCCACTATTATCTGAGCACTTATTGTGTGCGAGGCACTTTGCTGGACACTTTATGTGCATAAAACCCTCAGATAAACTAGGTATTTCTATTCCCCCATTTTACAGATGAAGAAATAGAGGCTTAGAGAGATTAAATCATTTGTCTCAGGGAACATCACTGGTAATTGGTGAGCAAAGGTTTTAATACTAGCCCTATAAATCTAGAAACCACACTTTTAATCTTTAATAGGATTGTTTTGGAGAACTTTGTTAAATATGTATGCCCCAGAACCTAACAGAGTAGATGTTCAGTGAACATTTGTTGAGTTTAAATCAGTAAGGACATGGCTAATTTGTGCAATGAGCTAATGTTCAGGGATGTTTTGCAAGCCAAGAAAATATCACTCTGATGTACTGAAAGCTTCTAATGAGAACATTGGCTGTCAATTATACAAGGAAGCCATTACATTGGGAACAAAATGGCCGGCACACAGACACAATTTGCTTTTTGCTAATTAGTGTTAGGCCCATCCCAGCAGATGTCAGGATGAGCCATGGTTACTAACCATAAATTGACATGGCAGACCTTGTCTGCAAGGGCTATTTTCTTCCTTCCACTGAGACTGGTAACTAAATAACTGTGCAGGTGCTACTGGGCAGTGATGTCTGGACTGAGACCATAGAGTCCAAATAAAGGGAATAGTTCAGGAAAAAAATGAAAGAAGACAGAATGACCTGGGCTGTGAATCTGGAAATGGTAAGGTAGTTTGACACTAAACCAAACTGCTGACGCATGAAGAGAGATGCTTCCAAAGCAGGAACAACGGGAGGTTGGGTGCGGCAGATGGCCATACAGCTGGAATGCTAGTCTACATTTCCCTGACGCTCTTTATATTTCCCAGCATTCGGAGCATAAGCTAGTATTTTAATGACGATGATGATTATGTGTCTGTAGCTGGGTATATTTTGAGTGTTATTGGCCCTGTTTTTCTTTTAGAAAGAGTTGGCATAACCTAGATGTTAGGAGCACATGCTGTATAGTCAGATAGACCTAAATTTTAATTTTGTCTAGTTCAAGATATGGGTACAGAGTAGGTGCCAGCCTTTACCTACCCCTAGTTAATCATGAAGACCTGAAAAGTTAAAAGAAAGGTTACTTTTAACCTTTTTTTAATGAGCCCCTAATATAACACTAGACCAAGGCACATTTAGATGGTCATTCATTACTAATTAGCTTCTTGATTAAGAATCATAAGCATCAAGTTTTGAATTAAAGGTTTTCACTAGTACAGCATTGATTTGAACTCAGTTGCTTTAAATTCTTAGTCTGATTCCTTACATTCTACCTTTTGACTGGGAATGTTCTATGATTCAGGAATATTTTTCAGCTGAGCAATATATTCAAATGATTTGATTCTGAGTTGTGACATTATATCAATCAACAGACATACAAAGGTACAAAAATTAAAATAATAACTACCTACTTAGTAAGTGAGCTAAGCTGGAAAGGGAGCAATCTGTGAAGTGAGGACTCTCCCAGGGTACCCAGTACATATGCTGTTCCATCAAGTGTGGAGGTGATTCTCCATTCCCTTCAGCAGAATGCTCAGAACCAAGCTCACTGATTGTTGTTCAGTCAGGTGTGGCCCCACCCTCTTCTTCCCTGTGACAGAGCCTGGCCATAGTAGAAACCCTCATTGCACTTAGGATCCTGAAACAGTGACCTGTGACCAGAGGAAAAGGTTGAGGACTGGAATCAGCTAAATGCTTTGCAGGGAAAACCTGATTCCTTAGCATTGGCAATTCCAAAGCTCAGGAAATCTGGCCTTCAGAATCCAGCTGAACCCCCAGCTTTAAAGGAATTTGCTTTCTAAAGCTAATGTCTCGACCTCCACTTTGAAAAATTGATTAATTTTTTTCCCTTATAACTTGTTAAACTGCTCACATCCCCAGAAGGGGTCTGAATCTTTGAGCAAAATATTTCCCTTCTAAGAAAGGGGAGGGGGAGGGGGAAGCACTTGAGAGTAAGGTTGTGGCTACTCACTGCAACCTGCTGCCTCCCCAGTTTAATCAAGCCTGCTGGTCTCCCAGACAGCCCAGCCAACAAATGACCCCAAAAAGCAGCAATCATTAAAAGAGAGCTGACTATTGTGAAATTTAACAGAACTGTGTGAATGATAATGAAAATATATTGAAAACTTGAAATTAGCAAAGAACATAAGCCTGGTTTGGAGCGATAGAGACCTTGCTCATCTTACGGATATTCAAAAGACTGCCATATACAAGTTTATCTTTCCTTTTAATGGATTTCTCAGAAGCCGTGGCAAAAAGTGTTCTACGTGATTGCCCAAGGTCAGCCCTTTAGACAATTGAGATAGCTTTCATCCCAGTCAACTCCAGGATTCATTTCTCTGGACAAAATTGGATGGCATTATCAAAGCAAAAAATAGATTGTTTCTCAAAGTGGAAAGCTTTGAAATAAAAAAGTGTTTGGCAATAATAGGTGATGGGCTCTCTGAGAACATTTTTCAAATAGGGCCTCCACAGAAAATCATCAATGTTAGCGCAAGCCTGGATTTCCCTGTGGTGGGGTCAGGTAAGAAATATTGCATTTTGAGTGTCTGATTCTGGCTGATGTTTGAAGGAAACTTTAAAAGTGCTAATGCTGTCAGCCTGAGATTACACAAAGTCCAGTGGAAAAGGCAAAATTGGACATCACATAATTAGCGATGGAGAGCAGGACATAAAACATCCCCAGGAGCATCTACTCTGCCACCCCCATGGAGAGCAACACAGTTGGACATCTGTCTCTATTCCTGTCTCCATGAGTGGTCCACGTGTCCCAGACTGGCCATCATCAGGGATCTACAGAAACTGTGGTGATGGCTTTTTCTGTGTGACTTTTCCTGACCAGTCATGGGACTGCCAGATGAACCACTCTATTTTTTCATTCTTCCTGTTTCTTGTAAAATGTGATTAATCCCATAGGCTTTGTGGCATATGGATTATTATGATACGTACTAATCAATATGGTATTCACTTGAACTTAGTTGCTTTAAATTCTTAGTCTGATTCCTTTCTACCTTTTGTCTGGGAATGAGACGCAAAAGAAGAAATAATAGTAGTAACCATTATCGACTGTGGACCGTGTGCCTGGCAGTTCACGTCCCTTCGTCCTTACAATCTTGACAGTAACTCTTGACAAGTAATGGTTAAAGAAACCGATTCTGATGAACTTGAGCAGAAGAAAGAAGAGGGAGCAGGCGCGGGAGGGGGGATGTGAGGTAGTTAATAGAGTGAAGGCGAGGCTGAGAAGCCAGGCCTGGGAAAGCGCATCTGAGCATCCGACAGCAATAGACACTCTCTTCAAGAGACCCCATCTCAGGCGTTCGCATTGCAGTGCTTTGGCCCTACCCAAGTGCACATTCCCAAGCGAGAACCTCACTGTCCCAGCTTGACCAGGGGTGGTCCGGGCCTTTTGATTCCAGTCCTACCTAGACTGCAAGCTGTACTGTGCATTTAGCTTTGGACTCTCGGATCTGCCTCCGCTCATAGCACTGACTCGCCTCTCCCTGGTTCTCTTGCAGTCGGCAAGGAAGTTTTTCCCCATCACGTTCTTCGGCGCCATCACCTGGATCGCAATATTCTCTTACTTAATGGTCTGGTGGGCACACCAGGTAAGACCTTGATCGTGACTCCAGCTGCCTGGTGTTGCTGAGTTGTTTATCAGTGTGTTTGCTTCCTGAGACTCTCACAACAGTAGTGCGCCTGATGAGATAAGTTAAACATTCCAGGACTAAAGGAAATTACTCCACTTCACTTTCCCTTGTCTCTTGGCCTTTCCCTGGAGCGTGGAGTGAGATCCGCATGGCCCGGTCAGGCATGTGGAGGAAGGAAGGCAGACCTAGCTGCTTCTGCCCTCTGCGGCCTGAAACCAGGCCAGCTCAGGCGGCAAAGAATGGCGAGGTTTTGCCTGACTCCATGGCACTTACTTTCTCTTGGGCAACTACTCACCTTCTAACCAGCCTTTTTTTCAATTAAAGTTTACATTCAATATTATTTTGTATTATTTTCAGGTGTATAATATAGTGGTTAGGCTATCATATACTTTATAGAATGTCCCCCCTGATATTTCCAGTACCCACCTGGCACCATGCATAGTTATTACAGTATTTTTACTATATTTCCAGTGCTGTACTTTACATCCCCATGACTGTTTTGTAACTACCAATTTGTACCTCTCCTTTTTCACTCAGTCCCCCAACCCCTGCTCCCCTCTGGCAACCATCCGTCTGTTCTTTGTATCTATGAGTCTGTTTCTGTTTCTTTTGTTAATGTTGTTCTTTATTTTTTTTAATATGTTCTTATTGATTTTAGAGAGGAAGGGAGAGGGGGAGAGAGAGAGAAACATCGACATGAGAAACATTTATCAGTTCCCTCCTGCACATCCCCCAACCAGGGATTGAACCCACAACCTGGCTGTGTGCCCTGACCAGGAATTGAACTGGCGACCTTGAGGTGCATAAGACAACACTCAAGCAACTGAACCATACCGCCCATGGCCAGTATTGTTCTTTAGGTTCCACATATAAGTGAAATCATATATTTGTCTTTCTCTGACTGACCTATTTCACTTAGCATAATACCCTCTAGGTCCATCCATGTTGTCACAAGTGGTAAGATTTCACTCTTTTTTAAGGCGAAGTAATATTCCATTATATATATATATATACACCACAGCTTTTTTATCCGCCCATCTATTGATGAGCACTTGGGTTGCTTCCACATCTTGGCTATTGTAAATAACACTGCAATGAACATAGGGATGCATATATTTTTTTGAATTAGTGTTTTGGGTTTCTTTGGATGTATTCCCAGAAGTGGAATCACTGGGTCATAAGGCAGTTCCGTTGGCTCTTAGGAAAAATCTGAAGACAAAATGGTCTCTTCCTTGAGCCTCAGTTTATAAAAATGATGCTGTATTTCACTTTTACCACTTTTAACTCAATTCCAGTCATAATGCCCATCACAAGAATAAACTCTCAGGAATTGTTTGTTGTAACACATGAATGAAAGAATGAGATGTGAAAGAAGAAATAATAGTGGTGACCATTATTGATTGTGTACTGTGTGCTGGGCAGTTCACATCCCTTTGTCCTTATAATTTTGACAATAACCCTTGACAATTTCTCCATAGGTAACAATCCCATGAGGGGCGTACTATTATTATTCACAGTTTACAGATAAAAGAGCTAAGCTTAGAGCTAATGAGACAATTGCATGGGATCATATAGATAGTAAATAGCAGAACTGAGATTCTAACTGAGGACTCTGAAACACCAAAACTTATGCTTTTAATCTCAATCATAAACTACCTAAATTACAGACTGCCCACTTGTATACTTGATTTCATATAGCCTTAAATTCATTACACTCCTTAATATAAGTAAAATATAGCAATTTGAAATAAGGAAATGTACACAAAGAACATATATAGAAGGACATCTCAACAAATGGTGCTGGAATAACTGGATTTCCATATGCCGAAATAAATGACTTTAGATTAGAACCTCTACTTCACACTCTACTCAAAAATTAACTCAAAGCATATCAAGTTCTAACTGTAAGAGCTAAAACTATCAAACAACTAGAAGAAAGCATAGAAAACCTATATGATTATGGGTTAGACAAAGAGTTCTATAATATAACACCCAAACATGATCCATAAAAGAAAAAATTAGACTTCATCAAAATTAAATATTTTGCTCTTCAAAAAACATTTGAAATGAGAAAACAAACCACAGACTGAGAGAAAATATTTGCAAATCATATATATACCTGATAAAGCACTCTATCCAGGATATATAAAAATTTCCTGCCTGGCCAGGCGTGGCTCAGCAGTTGAGCATTGACCTAGGATCCAGGCGATTGGGGTTCGATTCCCAGTCAGGGCACATGCCCGGGTTGCGGGCTAGGCAGCCGATCAATGACTCTGTCATCATGGATGTTTCTATCTCTCTCTGTCCCCCTCCTTTCCTCTCTCTGAAATCAATAAAGATATGTTTAAAAAAAAAAATTTCCTAAAGCTCCATAATAAGAAGGCAAGCACATACAGCTTCCTAATTTTTAAGATGAATGAAAGATTTGAATAGCTATTTCACCAAAGAAGATACGCAAATGGCTAATAAACACCAGAAAAGATGCTCAGCATCATTACTCATTAGAGAAATGCAAATCAAAACCACAATGAGATACCACTTCATACTCACTAAGACAGATGTAATCAAAAAGGCAGCCAAAAAAAACAGTGTGGGGAAGAATATGTAGAAATGGACCCCTTCTATATTGCTGGTAAGAATGGCAAATAGTGCAGTCACCTTGGAAAACAGTTTGGCCGTTCCACAAAATGTTAAATATAGAGTTACAATATGACCCAGTGATTCCACTCCTCTTGTATACCCAAGAGAAAAGAGAACATCTCCACAAAAAATTGTACACATGTATTCATAGCAGCATTATTCAGAGTAGCCAGAAATGTAAACACCCCAAGTGTCTATCAGCTGATGAATGCATAAGGAAAATGTTGTCTGTCTACGTGATGGAATAGTACCTCACAGTAAAAAGGAACGAAGTATTGATACATGCTACAATGTGAATGAACCTCTACATTTTATGCTAAGTGAAGAAAAGCCAGTCACCAAACATCATGCATGGTAGGCTTCCATTTATATGATACTAAAAAAAAAAAAGGCAAATCTATAGAGACAGAAAATAGGTCAATGGTTGCCTTGGTTTGGGGAAGGAGAAGGGAAATGGGGAGAGACTGCTAATGGGTATAGAGTTTCTTCTTGGAAATAAAAGGGAATGTAGGGAATCGCTAACAGAATTCACTAGAAATGTTGGCTGATATACCCAGAGTTATTCCTATAAGATATATTATTATTATCATAGTTATTTTAATGACATTTGACTTCAGATTACTCTTCTTGGATATTTCCCTATAATCACTGGTCCCCTAAAGAAGTTCTTTTTGTCCCAAAGTCATTATTTTTCACACTCGTAGAGAGACATTTGCTCCCAATACCTGGCAAAAATTACTGCAGAGATGGGCTGCTTCTCGGCCTTCAGATTTCGAGGCTAAAAGGACTGTTTCCATTTATAACATGTAATGGCTTTTCCTAATAATCGTTGTTGTTTCAGGCACTGACAGTGAAAAAGCGAGGTTTTTTCACTTGCTGCAATATGTTGTTATAGCTACTTCTCTTCAGCCATCCTAGAAAACATTATTGTCCAGGCTTCCATTGTTTTCTTTCTAATGATTATCTCCATTCCGCAATCCTGCTTCCTTTTCATTCTCATTTAGAAAAACATAAACAAGATGCCTGGAACAATAGTAATTACAAAAAGACCCAGAAATATGAAGAGTAGCCTTGCTTTCCAATAATGGATGAGAAATTTCTCTTTCTTTCCTCCCATAGAAATGCTTTTCTCTCTCAAAACATCTACACAGCTGATCAAAATAGCAAACTCTGTTCTAAGAGGTCTGGCTCTAATTCTATTGTTTGTATTTATGAACTATAAAAGCTATAAAAATATCACCATTAGTGCTCAACTGGTACCCACAGTTTTACCATTAATAAATCCTATTTGACACAATTATTTGACTACCACTTGGCCAAAAAATAGTGCCCTGCACATAAAATGCATTATGCATATTTTCCCTTCATATCTGTTATTTTTATATAGTTTTTGCATCATGAATCTTTTTCTTAGTAGGTTTTATGAGTGATGAAAACCTGTGGTCCAAATCTATACGGCATCTAGTATGAGAAGTTAATTCAAAAGGTCAGATATGACCAGCCCTATGTCTCATTTGGCCAATCTGACATTTTTGCAAACCCTCCTTAAGCCAAGGCAAGGAACTGCATCACAGAATATTAGGAACAGCACTGGATTTGGATCCATCATTTACTTCTATTAGAAATCAAGGAAATTCCCCCCAAGAGACCCCTGATGTCCTTTCTAGCTCTAACCTTCTCTGATGCTCCCCAAAGTGACCATGGATGCCATCCCATCCATGCACCCACCACCTCGTCTCGGATTCGCCAGGGGTCCCTTCAGTGAAATATACTCAAAATGAGCTAATATAGAAGTTCCCCTGCAGTGGGAGTGTTTCTAGAGCCACACAGATTCACCAGGGATTTGATGTACAATGAAAATTCTCCGTTACTCATGTGACTTCCTACACTGTGGACTGACACCACTAAACCAGCTTTTCTCTGCTGCCAGAGCCCTGGTGGCCGCACACTGATAGGTGGGAGAGGGAAAGCAGTAATGTCTAAGTTATAGTAGTTCATATTTATTGAACATTTATTTTGTGTCTGGCAATGCGCTATTTGCCTTTTAAGCTCATCACATATAATTATCACAACTCCAAGGATGGGTATCATTATCCCCATTTCACAGATGGGAAAAACTGAGCCTCAGGGAAGTTGGTTGGCTCGCACTAGGAGTGACAGGCTAGGATTTGCACGCAGAGTTCTCTGTATCCCAAGCCAGCTGTCTTAACCACACCACCATACCACCCTCTTAAATTCCTGCATTCTTCTGTCTGCAGTGGCATTCAAACTCTAAATATAAATGGCTTCTAAAACAGTCACTGCTTTAGAGCTCCCTCTAGGAATTTACATTATTAAGAATGTATTAAATGGATTGTAACTTATTGAAGGTGACAGCCATTTAGTCAGTTTCTTTACAGTCTTTGAAAATGCTTCACTCCAAATCTAACAAAAAAGATAAGTCATCAAGTAGAATGTTTTGCTCAAATAGGGCACTCCTGTGCAAAACTCTCATTTAAATTTTTCTAGGAGATTCGGTGAAAAGCGTGCTGGTAAAATCACCTCCATATGCAGATTGACTTGTTTATTCAGCAAATAGGCCCCGAAAGCCTCCTACATGCCAGGCTGTGTTCTGAGTCATAAGAAGACTAGTGATCAAGGCGACAGTCCCGCTCGCATGGAGCTTACTTTCCAGTGGGGAGCCAGGAATCTGCACCGTGAGGACAGGGCGAACTAGTTCTACTCACCAGGCTCTGGAGTGAACATGACCATCAAAATCAAAATAGCTCCAACTATGCTTTTAAGCTGGTGAGAACGGAGCTATCACTTATAAATCAAAAAAAAAGGGATTTAGAAATGAGTTTACTCGCCTGGCCGGCGTGGCTCAGCAGTTGAGCGTCAACCTAGGATCCAGGAGATCACGGTTCGATTCCCAGTCAGGGCACATGCCGGGGTTTCGGGCTCGATCCCCAGCAGGGGGCATGCAGGAGGCTGCTGATCAATGACTCTCTCATCAGTGATGTTTCCCTCTCTCTCTCTCTCCCTTCCTCTCTCTGAAATCATTAAAGACATATTTTTTAAAAAAAAAGAAAGAAAGAAAAATGCGTTTATTCCATGAAAACCTTTAAACTTGCATGCTACTTCGGCCTTTAAATTTTTTTCAAAAACGCTGGACATCATCAGGTAGGCTGTTGGAAACCAAATTGGAAGCATCATCTTAAAGGTTTTCAGTTTGCCAACTCCAGAAAATATATAAAGGTTTTAAAAGTCCCAAGAAGACATACAAGTTGCTCAAGAGAGTGGAGGAGCTTCCATCTGAGGCTGGACCAACTGTGCATGTTAGAATTTGTCTGTCTTTAAAAGCCAAGACCAAAAGAAACTATAATTGCTCCCCTTGCTTTTCAAAACTGTGTACCATTAACTAAGGGCTTTTCTACAAATTATCACTTAGTCTTCACAACCACCTTGAGGGTTGGTGTGACCATCGCCTCTATAGTGAGGATCAAACCCACTGTCCAGCGCGCTCAGTGAGCAGCAGGCCAAGTACTTAATAAACGCCAGAGCCAGCCCTTGGACCGAGGTCCTCTGATTCCCTAAATGACACTTTCTTCACTTCTGCCCTGCTGATTCACAGCCCTGTTACAGAGTCACCCAGAATCAAGTTTCCTGTGGAAATGGTAGTTTGAAGTTTTTAAGAGTAGGTTGCAGGCACTAGGATACATTCAGGAAAAATGGGGATGCTGGGTCCAACTCTTTAACCTTCAGCGGTAAACCCAAGGCATCTGCCACAGGATTTGGTGCCATTGTCGGGCACTGGCTCCTGGAGCCTCTGACCAATTGGGTTTTTAAACTATATTTCTGCTTCCCCTGCCCAGTCTTAATCAACACCATACACAGGCTGCCCTCCAGCCCACTATAGCTCTTTTTTGAGATTATCTGTTTAATCCTTCTGTGAACATTCCCAGTCTCTTGGGTCTGAATATCATGAAAGTATAAACTCTGTGGCGATGAGTGTGGCTTATTCCTCTTTATCATCTCAGCACTCAGCACAGTCCAGAGGAGGCGCTCTTTAGAAGGGAGTTGCATTGAAGTGTTTGTGGCTTGGATGGTTTTGTGACTACAGATACTCACATATTTGTCCCTGTCATCACTTTTAGGTTGGAGAGACCATTGGCATTAGTGAGGAGATTATGGGTCTGACCATGTTGGCTGCTGGGACCTCTATCCCGGATCTTATCACCAGTGTCATAGTGGCCCGCAAGGGGCTTGGTGACATGGCTGTATCCAGCTCTGTTGGAAGCAACATTTTTGACATCACCGTAGGGTAAGTAGAGATCTTTCTAAAAAGGTGCACACCAACTGCTTCCCTGTCTTCAAAGCTGTGAAGACATGACCAGGATCTCCAAGCCCAAAAATAACCAATATCAGTAGAAAGTAAAAACTGGAAGTACCATTCGGCTTCACCAAGTCCATTTTTCATTTTCAGAGAACAGAATGAACAATAAATTATCCCTAGAAGACAGAAACAAATACCTGCATACAGAGTAGGTGTTGTAGGACATACTTTACGAGAATTTCATTTATATGATTGCATTGGCTACGCGTTATCATTTCTCAATACTCAGCACATCTGAGATGATCTGGTAGTTTCATTATATTTTTTTTTTATATTCTGATTCTAAATAAAGTCTCTGCCAGCCTCAGGTGAGATTTGGATTATAAAGCAGATTGTAACAAACCTAGACCCAGCAAAAATAGCTCATCTCCTTCCTTGGAAAATGCTGGCAGGTTTGCATTCTCACTTGTTTACCTGTGCTGATGAGGATGTGCTAGGTGTTTTGCAAGTCAGAAAATGAGATCTGTTCTTACAGTTAAGCAGACTGGAGTCCTCACTGTGAATAATCTCTAACGTGGATCAGACTGGGGAGGGGTGCTGATACTTCTGTCACTTAATTTAACTTGTCCGAAGTAAAATTAGTCTGATAAATAACCTTAAATGGCAGCCCCCTGAGAAAATAGAACATAGGATGTTATCCTGTAACCCCAGAAAAACTGGGCTCTTGACACTTGAATTTGGCAACTCACTAAAATGGATCTGCTGTCTTACTGACCTTAAATATTGTTCTTTCTTATACCTTTCCATTACCCGACATATATGATAGTATTTTTTGTTCATTCAGTGTCTACCATGTGCACTGTACATACATTTTCATCCATGTAAACCACACAGAGATCCATAAGGTATTTTATCACCCCCATTTTTCAGATAAGGAAACTGAAGGGCACAGAATTTGTACACCTAGTAAAAGAAATAGGTGGGATTTAGACAGAGTCTGTGTTCTCAACTAAAGCGCTATCTGTGAATAAAATCCTGCTTTGAGTTTCCACTGTCTGAACCACCTTTAGGTTCCAGAGGTGCCCTCTCCTACTATACTTCCTTTCTTTACTGGCCCCTGTCACTCGAGAGCCCTCCCTGCCTAGAAAACTCCCACTTACCCTTCCAGTGTCAACTAAAATGAGGACTCTCTGATTCTCTTGGAAGCTTTTGCTCCTGTGTACTTCCTGCACCCCCTACTCCTGTCATGGTCATTAGATCAGTCTGCCTGCGAGACTGGGAACCCCCTGAAGAGAAATAACTCAGCAAAACCTAATACACTGACTAATGCAGGTAGTGGCTTGGCAGATGTTTGCAGGATGGATGGTGGATGGTGGATGGATGGATGGATGGATGGATGGATGGATGGATGGATGATGGGTGAACAGATGGATGGACTCCTTGAGAGGTGTATGTTTTAAAGGAAGGGTATCCCTAATATAAACTGTGTTTCTCAGTTCTACTGCCTACACATTTAGGGGAGTTTTCTTGGTCAATCTCTTGTAAAAAAGGAAAACAAAATGTTCTATAGTATAAAAGAGAAAAATCCTAAAAATTGGGAAAAATTACAAGTGTTCTAAGTCATACTTGTCATGTTTTTGAAAAACAAATATCCTAGGGAATTGCAAAATGTTTTTAGTTCATTGTTCTTTAATTGTATATTTAATAACAAATGAAAATTTAAAGAAAAATCACCCCTAATCCTACTACCCAAGAACAACATTTAGCTTTTGTATGCTCTCTTCCAAATATTTCACAGAGTTTCTTAGGGACTATTCAGCTTTGTCCTCTTGGAGGGCTTTTATTTCTCCATTTTAAAGACATTTATGCCTGGCATGGGGTAGGCATCTATTAGTAAATTAGTAAATCAACCGTTTTTCTAAGCTTCTTCATAGCTCTCATAATTAACATTGTACGGCTTTAAAATACCCCAGCCTGGTGCTTTTCAGTTTAACCAGTATCTTTTAGTAAGACCTTTTCATGTTTTCCAATTTTCTGCTATTATGAGTGTTTCTATACAGAAAAACTGTACCGTTTTATACAGAAAAACCTCCTCTTTTAATTATTTTAATTAGGATAAATTCCTTCAAGAAATATTAATGAATTAAAGATTATAAGCATTTTCACTTAGTAAGTTATATAATATCTAATCACTGGGGTGTACCCCTGAAACTAATATAATATTGAATGTTAATTGTAATTGAAAAATTTTAAAATTATTTAAGTTAAAATATAAATAAATAAAAATCTTAAATTTTTTTTTTTTTAAAGATTATGAGCATTTTGCCCTAGCCGGTTTGGCTCAGTGATTAGAGTGTCGGCCCGCAGACTGAAGGGTCCCAGGGTCCCTTGTCCAATCAAGGGCAGGTACCTCAGTTTCAGACTCGATCCGCACCCCGGTCAGGGCTCATGTGGGAGGCAACCAATCGATGGGTCTCTCTCACATCGATGTTTCTCTCTCTCTCCCTTCCACTCTCTCTGAAAAGCAATGGAAAAATATTCTCGGGTGCAGATTAAAAAAAAATATATGAGCATTTTAATGGCTATTGATGTATATTTTTCCAAAAGTCTTTCCCAAGAGTTTGTACCAGTTTACAAAGTCTTTAGCAATATATTGGGTGTAAAAGTTTCTTCATAGTCTTGCCTGCATTTTCTTTTTGCTTAAGATTAATACATACAGTAAAGGATTTAGACAATACATATAAAGCATAAAGAAAAAATCACTGGTAATTCATCACCCTTTTTAAATTCATATATATATCTCACATTATTAAAATTGCATTGCTATTTTTATATGTATCCTTCATTTTAGATAAAAGAATTATATCATGAGTACTTGCCTACATCTTCATAAGCTTATGACTTTTAATAACTACATCACATTACATCAACTTAATAGTTCACTATTTAACAAGTTCCCTATTAGAGATTAAGGTACACACAATGGTTCACTTCTCAAAATAACACTGAAATTATTATTTTTCTGGATAAAGTTATATCTGCATCTTTAATTATTTATTATTCTCGATCCCTAACAATAGAACTGATAGGTCAAAGGTATGAAAAATCATTTTTCCCCTCAATGCGTTTTTAATTTGTAGTGCCTCTTCACCAGAAGTGTGTGTGTGTGTGTGTGTGTGTGTGTGTATGTGTCTAGCTTAAGCAATGAGAAGTGAGGAAAAAGAGTTCCCTAGGACAAGTCCCAGGAGAGTTTTCTTGCTTCACCACTGCCAATCACTCCCCTCCCCTTTCTTACTTTCCACTGCTGACCAAAGGGTGCCAGGGCTGCCCCCTCCTGCCAAGAGCTTCCCTGCCGTGGCCCTGGGGAACCCTTCCCCTCCAGACATCTCCACTGAAATAGGCACCTCCCAGCCAGGCTCTGGTAGGCAAAGTGCCTGTAAATGATCACCATGAGGCAGGAGCACTGATCACTTCAGCTTGACCCAGGTTAGCATACGCACCTGGACGGGGCCTGCACGTGCCAGGCCCTGGGATTTGAAAGATATGTAATGCGTGGGCTCTACCTTCACATGCACCCTCTCTCCGGCAGAGGAGACAGATGCGCAAGCTCGCTGCCCTTCTCACCTATTGTTTCTCTGAAGCAATATGCTTTTCCTTTGGAGAACTTTCTGTTTGGAAAGGGTGTCTCCTCTTCCACACGGCTGAGGCTGGGCCAAAACTGAATCTCCCTTAGCCTTGGGCTGTGCAGAAGGCTCAGTCCCCTGGGTGGCAGAGTTCCTGTTTCCCTGAACAGCATTCCACTGTTAGACTCAGTGGGTAGGACTGGGCTGCATCTCACCAAGCCACGTGGAGGTGTGCACACCGCGAGTCCCGCATTTTCAGCCATGTACCTCTCCCTCAGAGGACTAGCCCACTCCTGTGGTGCCCCTGGCAGTCAGCTCGTTGATGTCTTTCAGAGTCCCCACTTTGATTAGGAAACAAAAGATGTTATCATGTTTCAAAAGTTAAATACAAAGGGAGAAAACGTATAAAAATATGTACTAAAGTTTTTTAAAATCACATCTTCCTCAGATCTTTCAGAAAGGTCATTTTTTAGTGAAAAGGGTGTCCCATCTTTTCCAACATAAACTTCAGGCAGCTCTGTGGCGCTGGGCCCCACCACCACCATTTATTTTCACTTGCTTTTTAGGCTGTTCATTGCTATTCTCTCTCTCCATCTAAAAAAAGTAAGGTTTCCATTTTCACTGCTGATTGCCATATCTTTTCTCCAATGGTCCTCTCCTCCTCTCACCCAGATCCTCCAGTTCCCGTCTTTAGGTCTTTAGGCCTGAGGGTGACATTTTCATCTCTACTAGGAAAAAAACAAAAAAGTATTTCATACCCAGCTCAATTATCACCTGCCGCAGCCATGGCTTCGACCGTATCTAACTGAAGAACAAATTCTCTCCATTCCCCCTCGTTCGGTCAGGAAATAAAGGTTTTTAAAGGTCACCTGACTTGCGGAAGCTGTTTCCTGGGCCAGCCACGGTGAGCCTACCGGGGCCCCTTTCCCCAGCGAGCCACCCCAAGGGGCTCCCGCTGTGCCCGGCCTCCTGCCCGTGCCCGCCCCCACCCCTGTCCTCTCGCCCGCAGGCTCCCGCTGCCCTGGCTCCTCTACACCTTCATCCACAGACTGCAGCCTGTGGCCGTGAGCAGCAACGGCCTCTTCTGCGCCATCGTCCTCCTCTTCATCATGCTGCTCTTCGTCATCCTGTCCATCGCCCTCTGCAAGTGGAGGATGAACAAAGTGCTGGGCTTCATCATGTTCGGCCTCTACTTCGTGTTCCTCGTGCTCAGCGTGCTCCTGGAGGACCGAATCCTCATGTGCCCGGTCTCCATCTAGCAGGAAAAGCCATCCCTGGGACCAGCGGCCTGGACCGGCCCTCCCGCTCTGGGCTCCAGGCTCCTTGACAACTTGAGAAGAAGCGGCTGGCGCTCAGCCCCGGGCACGGGACTGTCCCTCCTTGGTGGACGTGAGGAGGGGTGACTCGCACTGACCCGCCCGCTTCACGGGCTGCTGCCACCCTCGCCTGCTGAAATGGCTTCATTCAAGAGGCAGAGAGAGCTGTGCGTCGGAGGCTTCTCTCCGCTCGCCGCTGACAGGTACTCCTCGCTGGTCGGAGGTACATGCGTTGCAATGATGCAAACAATGGCAGAGGCTTCGTATACACATATGAGATATACATAGTATAAATAGATGCACATGAACACACACCTGTTTCTGTACTATACCTCTCCTTCCATGCCTATAGAGTAATACAGACCTATACACAAACACAAAGAAATAGTATATATATAAAATTATATATATATATAAATACAAATGCATCTTTTCAGGGATAGCTCTAGTATATTTATAGTACCTGTATGAAGAGGGGCATCGACCTTCTGTGTCAGCTTCACCTCTTAAGTGCAAGAGGTAAACTAATGGAATCATTGCTGTGACCTTCAGCCTACCTTGGACTTACTGGGATCCTGCTGGGTAAGGTAGATGCTTTAGGGAAATAAGTTTCAGGGGAGAGGGCTAGGTGGAGAGGGCCTGTAAGGGCCATGGGTTAAGCCCTCCAAAACATTTCCACAAGCCAAACAGGGAAGACTCTCTGCCCACCCCACTGGGGCACACTGACCAAACCCCGTGGGGTTATTTGGGACAGAAGAAGGTAAAATCCAAACTGGTCGATACTGGTTTGGCGGCAGAGGGAAAGTAACCAGGGTTGTTTTTTTGGGTTTATATATATACATATATATATATTGCCCCAGCATGCAAGTAGAAACTATGATTGCAAACCAAATTAGCACTCTTCTAGGACAGCGAGACTATATAAACTGAACCTGTATTCCAATGCATGCCCCATTACCATCAAAAGAAGGGAGGCAAGTTTAGCTGCGATTGTCATTTAGACATATTTTGATGCTAAGGGCTCACATATAATCCAAATGCTACCAAAAGAGCCTGGATATATAATAAGAAATTCCATCCAGTAGAGGCGCTTAGTGAGACTTGCCACCTAATGGGAATGTGAGGGTGTAGTTCGTTAAAGCTTCTTCCGAGTGGCCATAAAGGGCTTCAGTGTCTGAAGCAATCATTATTCCTTAAATAGAACTAAATTTACTCTGATCAATACTGCTTGGGTCGAGGCAGCCTAGAGGTGTTTGGAAAGGCATTTGCACACTAGGAAAGTTTCTGAGTCCTATTCTAGTGGTACCAAGACCAGGATTTAGTTAAAGTTCATGCAACATCCATGTCTCTCCTGCCATCAGGACCCTGTTGGGAACTCTTTCTAGCTTACCGAGTACACTGAAGACTGCACTTGACAACTTCTTCACACTGGCTTCCAGCCGGTCACTCCAAGGTTTTCATTTCCTGAAGCATTCATGGGATGTTTTCATTCCATTCATTCAGTGCCCCCAGGTTCTTTTTGACAGCTTGTATTTCTCAGATCTATGTGAAAAGAAAGTAAAACCAGCAGGGGGAAAAATAAAACAGGCAAACGAAATTGATGGAAAATACACAGTCTTTCATTTCCCCAAGTTATGCTCTTCCTGAAATCAGTTGAAAAAGTCAGTAGAGGATGGTTCATTGTTCGATACTGATCCTACACCTGAGTTGGTGCACACCACCTGTGGGAGCTAGACCACACATGTTCTTGTCTCTCTTTTGTGTCACTGATGCTGCTGTGATTTTGTTGGGAGTGCAGACCTCCTAACACAGGGAGACAGGATGCAGGACTCACAGCTGAGAAAAAGAGGAAGGAGACCTGACAGCCCCAGATCGAGCTCAGTATTTCTTCCTCAAAACCTCAGCTCGCTCCTCAGAGCCTGGAAATAATAGCCAATGCCCATCATTGCTCTTGATGCAAAAAGCACTTCTAACATAGGCCCATTGGGGAAACAAGAAGAAAGGATGGTGCCGCCCATGAGGCAGACTTTGAAGTCTCTCCACCTTTGCAAAGTCTAGTTTTCAGTTGTGTGAAAGGACCTGCGTCTCATTCTGCAAGGGCAACGCTTTGTATTGAGGCAAGAATTTGTGCTAGTTCCTAAGAGTGAAAGACAGTGAGTGAACTTTTAATGAAAATCTCTGCTTGCTTTCCCTGTGTGTGACTTGAAGGGGAGCAGAGTTGGTTATTGCATGAATGTGTATTGTCGCCTGGTTCATTGTCTGAAAGAAGGTTTGAATAGGTGACTCTGCCCCCACTACATATAGACTGTGTAAAACCAGCAAGGACGAGGGAGGTCTGGTGCGGCCCTTTTCTCACCCTAGGCTCCCCCTACACGCGCACCCTCCCCACTTCTTCCTGTGAATTCCCAGAGCACAGCGAAGACTCATCCAAGCAGCCATGGAGCTTTTTACTTGCCTGTGAGCTCCATTTCATAGGGACTGTTGTGGTCATTCATGAAAATTTGTACTTGAGAAGACAGTATTTCAAGGCCCAGTTCCCACCTCAGTGACATACAACTGCAGTGCCCCCTGCTGGCTGGTAGACAGGCACCGTCTTCCTGCCCCCGCTCGCCTTTGCTTCCCCCTCATTATGTGTCTGTGAGGTTTTGTGTTGGGCTACAGTGAGCCAGAGAGAAGTGTGTGGGATACAACAGTAGATCTTTAAAAGCATTAAGATCATTAACATAAGGAGCACCATAGTTTTTTCCTAAGTAGGTCATCTCTAATCCCTCTTCCGCATGGCTGTGTATATACATATATAAATATATATCTTTATACCAGATCTATATGTACATACACAATATCACTTACATCATCACCTCCGACCCAGTCACATTCAGGATTCAAAAGCAGGGAGCATCGAGTTTGCCATAGTGAAGGAAAAGGAGAGTCGTGCTTTCCAACAACCAAAGGAGCATTTCTTCCTGACCTCACAGCGTTTGTTCTGTGCACATCCCAACATACAGATGTGTCCTCACTCCATGTATTATCCACCCCAAGAACATAGATTTACAGCCTTACAGAAATGGCCAACCATGTCCCTAATGCTGATGGAGAGGCAAAAAATACACAACAGAAAAGCACAGGGGGAAGAAATTTGGACTGCAGATCCTCTCTTTGCTTCCCTGGAGCAGAGTATAAAATAATATCTTACTGCCCAATCTAAAATAAATGAGCTGCACCAAATGGTTCCATTTCCCCACAGCGAACCAAACAGGCCTTGCTTGCTGTCACCTCCCCTGTCGCCCCAGGCAGCTTCAGGACTGGAGAGCAACTTGGCTCAGACTAAGAATGCCCAAACAGAACCTTCTAAATTGCATCTGGGAATGCCCACGCTGAGGCCAGCTGCCCCCTGAACCCGACTCGTTCCTGAAGAACCGAAGCTGGAGATTAGATGGTGACGCAGCCTCCCAGGCGTAAGCTGAGCCGGGCAGTGACAGGTCAGGAAAGCACAGTCCATGTGCAGGGAATAAGAGGCAGGGTTGTTTATCAGTTTGGCAGATGGGGAAGAATATTCTAAAGCCTTTTCAGAAGATGATAAAAAGGGGCAGGGACTGTTGCATATTCGGGAAAAATGCTTTGTAAGGCTTCTAACAGGTGTCACCTGACAGGGGCCATTACTATTTACTTTCTAGGGAAGACAAGAATCAGGTGGTTTGGAGCCTTTTCAGCAAAACACAGCTGCCTCACTGATGAGACATTGGATAATATTAATGTACATCCATTCCTGGGCAGGGAGAGAGTTGGCAAGCTCCCCACCGTTGCTCACAGCTCTTAAACTGTCTCTTCTGCAACAGGGAGATAGGAGATGAGCTCTAAAGGGAAGCCCCCTTCCCCCACCACCTTAACAGAAAACTGACAAAGGACATGACAACTAATAGAGCTGCTGGCCAGGCAGGCAGATGGGGAAAATGGGACTTCTGTTCAGCGCTCTGCTGAAATGACTGACGTGGCTCTGATGACCTATCGGAACACAAGCATTTCAAAAACTTCAGTGTGCTTTCTTCTTGACATCTACCAACACACACACACACAAGATTATGAGGATGCCATACTTTCCTTGCACATGGACAGATTGTTACCCCAGTAATTAAGTGTCTATCTTATAAGAGGCATTTCTGTTCCAAAAGAAATAAAGGGAAAATATCCTCAGGGTGATTTCTGGAGAAATCAACTGTCTCCTGAAAGCTCATTACAGAAGCTTGCTGAGCCAGATCTCACATACCCACCTGGCTTAATATTTTTAAAGACGCACCCTTGACACTTAGAGCTTCCTCAGCAATATTGTCTTCAGTTAGGGCTTGTCACTAAGAGGGAGTTCATCAGGGAGGGGGAAGAATAGGAAAAAGAAATAAAGGAGAAATTAATTTACTTTTACTAGGATTCCCAAGAAAGCAGGTGACACATTGATAATATTTCCCCTCGTAGTTTAAAATAATTACAAAATGCAGGCTTTTTAAAATCAATTAAAGAGCCTACATAGAATCCCAGATTTGAAATATTTCCCTTCTCAAGAAGGCCTTGGGAAGGTGGGTAGTGTGTGCCTGGCCCACCGTCTATTTACTTTCGCTTCTTGCCTCTGTATCTTTGTGTTTCTTCTTTAATCTCACAGCTTCATATTCTTTGAAATGTATAGCAAACAAGAAAAGCAATAAAGGGCACACTCGCGGCCAGCTAAACTCACTTATCATTACATCATCAGTGTTTTTTTCACTTCACCGGGCTGTGACAAATGGAGAATTTAGGCATCTGTGGAAATCATAGGCACACTCATGTTTGCTATGGGAGTAACACGTGCTTCCCACCGAGGCGCCCCCACAATGTGTGCACTGCCGTTTGACACGCTTTCCCACGCACAGGCCATCAGTCTTGCTCAGAACCACCTGGATTCCGCAGTGGTCTTTAATCTGACTAGTGAGAGAGAAAGAGCTGCACAGGACAAACTAATCTACAAGTCAGCCGGTTTTTTAGAGACAAAAATGACCCTGTAATTATGACTGGATAGACAATCGTGTTCAAATGTGTGAGAGACTATTATGCAACATCAGATTATCTAAACCTAAGCACCTTCTCTA